GGGGGGGGGGGGGGGGGGGGTTGAAGAAAGGGAGAGTGGTGGTCCAAGCCTTCTAAATGATAAATGGACGAGTACCTTCTTCTTATCTCCTTCATTATTGGAGATAGGTTACAGCTACAACCCAAAAGAAACCAAAATTCTATCCTGCAACCCCTAATAGACCCTAAACCTTTCCCATTTTCATTTTCAAAACCAATGGTTTGTAGGCACAACACAGTCTCGAGTGTTGGCATGGATGCAAGTTTTCTAACACAACCGACTTCAAAAAAAATAAGACTCGATGACACAAATATGCATGCATGCATGCACAGCCAATCCTACATACATGTACGTGCATTTTATAAAGATGTGCAACAATTGACCATTTTACTGGTTTTAGAACCATCTAGCTTTGAAAGTTTGCAATTTCTCTAAAAACTTGGCAAAACATGACATCAAAGACATCAGTACTGTAGTTCTATTATTGCAAAGGGTGAATTGCAATGAAAGCTGAGGGGTAACATGGTTATATAATATATTCTTGTGATCTATCATAATGGTTTCTTAAATTATAGTATCTTCAGAGGATCCTGTCCAAAAAACCAATTATGCAATCCAAAATGAGAGCCAACACAACTGTGTAACAAAAATGATAACAAGACATGACAAATGATGATGATGATGAGCCATGACAGTGGCAGGGGGTCATAGATTAGCGACTAAAGACACAATAGCCATGCCTCCCACTCCGTGACCTCTCTCTTTCTCTCACTAACACACCAACTATTGACATTCTTCTACTACTACTATTAACTCCACTTAAAAAAAGCACTCCACAATAGGTAGGAGTTAACAGTAAGATGTGTTGACATGCGATATGCAATCTAAACCATAGATATTGAGATCATAAATACCCTTAGCATCCCATAAATTAGGGTTGCCCAACCCAAAGGGGTGGGTTTGCAATCCAAATTGTTCGAATTTTGGACCCCAAATTATAATTCAAATCACAAATCAACTCATGATCTAGGTAATCCCAAATTATTGCCCTAACGCCAAATTTCAACCCTAACCTGTTATTTCTTTATTTTGGTGATTTTAAACTTATAATATAATTCGTTGCGACTTGAATTTTTTTACGGTACAAATACACAACCGTTAACTTTTATTATTTAGAACAATATGTCAGTATGTTGTCTTATATTATGATTCACCTTGGAGCTCTTATCAGAAATACATATTAATTAACTTCACAAGTATACATGTAGAATTATTTTTAATCGCAAGTAATAGTGACAATGATCAAGATAATAGTTATAAGACGAACTACAACCCAAAACAGTGTAACAAATACCAATAAAGTCTATTCCCACCACACCGCGCATTGAAAGAAGTATTGTATCCCGTATCAGTACTAATACCATGAACCCAGTTGATATCCTCTCTAGGTAATATTGATCTAAAACTACAGGGCTTTGTCCCCCAAATCATGCTCTATTCCACATGCCCTTATATGCCACAACCTTTTCCTGCACCTTTTGGAATTTTGTTTAAAACATAACAACGTCCTGTAATTGCTAACCAAAGATCCCAACAACATGGTCACTATGATATATGCTCCATAATAAACCCAAACCCAGAAGTTTCCTACAACCAACAGAAATAGCCCGCCACAACCAATCTAGGCTGGACTTCCATAACTTTCCTAGTGCCATTCTGGATAAAAAATGAACATAGGCATGTGATAGCATAAAGTCTTTTTAGGTGGAGTTTCCTACACTCACAAACAATTGAAAAGATCCCTAGATTAAAATTAATGATCTTATTCACCTACATTTTCCCATCAGCCGAAAAGAATCACCTATAAGTCCTCATACAAAAATGATCCATGCATGAAAATGACAAACACAAAAGAATCAACCAAGCAAACTGTTCAGAAATACCAAAAACAATTTATGAACCGAGTCCAGGTCAAACCCCCATCCCCCAACAAAATAAAAATGCAAAAGAAAGAAAGAGACAAAGCAAAAATTGTAAAATGAATACATTATCAGTCATCACGATTCAAAGCAACACCATATAGAATCGCCAATTACTATATTAAACAAACTCATAAAATAAAATTCAACTTCATTTAGTTTCCGCGAAATTGAGTGAAAAGCTTGGAAAATTAAAACTCTTTACTTTAACAACACCACCTACTGGATTAATTGGTATAACGATATTATAATCTCATGATCATTACTTTTCCTCGGTTTTCCAGGCAATCAAAGTCGCGAGAAATAGAGTAGGTGAAAACAGTGAAAGAAGGTACCTGAAGAATTCGATCTCTCGCCGGCACAGAACTAGTAGTAGGCTCAGGCAAAGGTGAATCAATCTCCATCCTGAACATGTGCCGAATCCAATCGGCGCAGCAACAGTGTCCAATTCCAGAGCTTTCACTCCCCAGGGCTGAATCAATTTCTCACACCCGCACACACAAAAACACGCACATATAAGAGAATTTCTGAAACATCATCAACTTCTAGGGCATTTAATATCTAAATTCAACTTTCATTGAGCTCTCTCTCTCCCTCTCTTCCTCTTCAAGTTCTCTCTGTGTAGCCAAAGACGGTACACCAAACTCTCGAACGATCGATCTGTAACGAGATGCGTGTTGGATAAAGGAGTAATTACGTATAAGCTATGATGATTTTCGGTATTTTCATTCTTTTATTAAATTAAACATAGAGTTAATTACATTAAAGGTTCCTAAAGTATATAATTTATCTCATTTTGATCCCTAAATAATTAAATACATTTCTTTGTGGTC